CAGAGGAAAAGAGGGAACCCACAAGCAGGGCCCGCTGGCAATAACGCCACCTGCTGGCCGCTCCACCGCATCGGGCGGTCTGGCATTCTGCCCCTGAACCCAGAAGCCCCATTCAGCTATCACTGCTCCCATAGCCAGCGGTCGACCTATCCTCCATAAATGATCCCCTTTTTCGATGCATCAAGCCTGTGGCTTCACCACATCTTGTGGCAGGGAGTTCCACAAGCCAACTCCTTGCTGTGCGGAGCCATAAGCCCGTTGGGCCCATCCTGAATCTAGAGACAACCAGAGTGGCCATGCTTTCTAGTATTATGGGAGAGAGGAGGCAGCAGTTTCTTTCTATGTACTTTCCACATACTATGCATTCGGGAGAAGGAGGGTCGGGGCTACCATTTGGCTGCCGGGGAGCCTTTCAAACACCAGTGCAGGAATTAGCACTGCACACTACTGAGCGTTAAGAGAAGAAGAAGAGGAGGAGGAGGAAATTGGATTTATTCCCCGCCCTTCACTCGGAGTGTCAGAGCAGCTTTCCCTTCCCCTCCCCACAACAGACACCCTGTGAGGTAGAAGAAGAAGAAGAGGAGGAGGAGGAAATTGGATTTATTCCCCGCCCTTCACTCGGAGTGTCAGAGCAGCTTTCCCTTCCCCTCCCCACAACAGACACCCTGTGAGGTAGAAGAAGAAGAAGAGGAGGAGGAGGAAATTGGATTTATTCCCCGCCCTTCACTCGGAGTGTCAGAGCAGCTTTCCCTTCCCCTCCCCACAACAGACACCCTGTGAGGTAGAAGAAGAAGAAGAGGAGGAGGAGGAAATTGGATTTATTCCCCGCCCTTCACTCGGAGTGTCAGAGCAGCTTTCCCTTCCCCTCCCCACAACAGACACCCTGTGAGGTAGAAGAAGAAGAAGAGGAGGAGGAGGAAATTGGATTTATTCCCCGCCCTTCACTCGGAGTGTCAGAGCAGCTTTCCCTTCCCCTCCCCACAACAGACACCCTGTGAGGTAGACGGGGCAGAGAGAGCTCCTTCGAGGACTTCCCTTGAGAGAACAGCTCTGAAAGAACTATGGCTTGCCCAAGGTCATCCAGCAGCTGCAAGTGGAGGAGTGGGGACTCAAACCCGGTTTTCCCAGATTAGAGTCCACACACTTAACCACGACACCACTACGCTGAGGTCCCCAACGTGGTGCCCAGGGGCGTCGTGGCACCCACCAACACCATTCCTGGGGCCTGCCAAGTACTCCTAGGAAGTAGGTGGGGCCAGGTAAGGCTTTTGCCCAGCAAGGCTTCTTATTGGCCACTGGAGATTTGATTGGCTGCGCAGGTTCTTAAAACGTGGCTTCAGCAGCAGCTGCCACCACACCATGAGGGTCTTCACTGTGTGACTGAAGGTAAGCTATGGGAGCCATTCTGTGTTTTCTGCAGCAGACATTTTGTGGCTGGCTCCGCCTCCTGAAGCAGCCATTTTGTGACTGTGCCACACCGCGCCATGTCAGAACTCCAAACCTGGCCACAAGACTCAAAAAGGTTGGGGGGTCCCGGCACTGTCCACACAGACAAGCAAGCTACAACTATCAACTATCCCCCACCTGCCACGCCCACCCTTTCTCCTCCCCGCCCACTCATACCAGTACTCCTCCTCGGCCAAGGCCATGACTTTCTCATACTGGGGCCCGGACAGTTGGCCGGTTCCAGGGAAGATGGCCTCATGATGTACGATCAGGCACTTCACCACCTCGTTGATGTGAGGCTGCACCGACACGGCATCTTGGCCTGCGGGGACGGTCACCAGGGTGGGCCCAAAGCACACGGCTAGGTTGTGGGGGTCCATCATGTTCTCATCGCTGTACTGAGATAAGCTGCGGGGAGAAGACGAGGGTGGCGCTGGACGAGCCATCCAGGCCAACAGAGATAATGGACCCCCCGCCCCGGGGTATTTGACCCTGGCAGTGTGCCCCTCCCTTCGGAAACTGAGGTGGAACACTTTCAAGGCAAGAAGAGTTCTTACCCAGAGCCCCCAGTACTCACTGGTTGAGGAAAGCAAAGAGGTACCGCAAAACCACCAACACGGTAGCCGGGAGCCGGGAAACGAGACCTCGGAGGTGGGAGATTCGCTCGGCCGAAGATTCCAATTCTGAGAAGCACATTGGAAAGAATATTAAAGGGAGCAGCGGATCAGCATGAAAAATACGTTAAGAGTCGTATATTTTTAAAATCCCCCCATTCGAATTAATAATTTTACTTAGGACACTGCGCGCAAAGCAGCGAAAATCCAAAGACATGCCCTGGATTAAAGACCTGCCAATAAAATTTCAGGATTCGGCAAGGAAGGACGAGGTTTCTTGGTTCGTACAATCAGAGGACAGCAGTGTTCCCTCTAAGTTGAGTGAGTGTGAGCCAGCTCACAGTTTTTTAGCCTCCTGCTCACACATTTTTGCCTTCGCTCGGGAAGGAGGGCTCCAGAGCAAACTAATTTATGCAGCAGTCAAATTGCACACTCACAACTTTAATGCCAGTCGCTCGCAAAGCGGAATTTTTGCTCCACAGCTTAGAGGGAGTATTGGAGGAGAAGTGGCCAAACAATTCTGGGAGGAAATGGATGTGATTTTTAAAAATTATTAGCAAAGTAATTCTTTAATATTAATGAGATCCCCTCCTTGATGTACCGTGAGTACTTTCCCTGCTAAGTTGTGAGGAGATGCGCGATTCTACTGCGAATAACCGTAATCATTGGATGATTCATTTGAGCCTGATTTATACTATGTGGGTCTTCTTGTGTTTTAACTGATGAAGTGTTTCTGTTTCTAATAAATCAAAAGGAGGAAGAAGGAAGACGAGGAGGAGGAGGAGACTGGATTTATACCCCGCCCTTCACTCAGAGTCTCAGAGCGACTTACAATGTCTTTCCCTTCCTCTCCCCACAACAGACACCCTGTGAGGAAGGTGGGGCTGAGAGAGCTCTGACAGAAACGGCTCTTTCTCAAGAACAGCGCTGAGAGAACTGTAACTGACCCAAGGTCACCCAGCAGCTACATGTGAAGGAGTGGGGGAATCAAACCCGGTTCTCCCAGACTAGAGTCCGCGCTCCTAACCACTACACCAAACTGGAAATGATCCTTGCTGAGCAGAATTTATTTTAAGAAACGGCTGAATCTCCAGGTCTCGGGTCTGCCTCCCACTTGGTCTATTATCTACTGTTGAAGCACCTCACGTTTTTAGGTTGCTGTCCTCGAGAGTAGCAATTTTTGCATTAACATCACGGCAAAGTCAATGTGGCACAGCCCCGCATCGAATGTCGACGGCAAACGGCCCCTGGGAGCACTGCTTGCATTGCACACGTATTGATAGCGCCATACACAAGGAGTACACATTTCTGCAAGAACAGAAAGTGGAAAGCGCTGTCAAGTTGCAGCTGACTTGGGGCAAACCCATAGAGTTTTCAAGACAAAGGACAAACAGAGGTAGTTTGCCATTGCCTGCCCCTGCGTCACGAACCTGGTATTCCGCAGTGGTCTCCATCCAAATACTGACCGGGGCCGAATCTCTTCGCTTCTGAGATCTGATGAGATTGAGTTAGCCTGGGCCCTCCAGATCAAAGCAAGAGACAAATGGAGGTGGCTTGCCATTGCCTGCCTCTGCGTAGCAACTCTGGGCTTCCTTGACGGTCTCCCATCCAAGTACTAACCGGGGCCGACCCTGCTTAGCTTCTGAGATCTGACGAGATCA